CACATTTGGACGCTTCGATCCATCCGTTTTTCACCAAATTCTAGGTGCATACATACGACCACACGTGGAGTATGCAATACAAGTCTGGCAGCCGTGGCTGAGGAAAGACCTCTCTGATTTAGAGAAACCCCAACGACGCACAACGAAGAACGTGAAAGGTTTAGGCCAGTTACGCTGCGAAGACAGACTGAGGTCGCTCGGGATATTTAGTGGTCAATATCGATGACTACGGGGAGATTTGATTTTGGCTTATCAGATTCTGACAGACCCCAATCATACCTGCCGCCATCTGCTGGAGCTCAGTAACAACAACAATCTGAGAGGCCATCATCTGAAGCTGGCAGTGCAGTACAGCTATTTGGAATGTCGATGGAATTTCTTTTCCGTGCGTGTTTGCCAAGCCTGGAATGCTCTCTCAGAATCTGTAGAGAGTGCACCCAACCTGATAGAGTTCAAAAATCGAGTTGATAGTGCACTCACTTCATTGCACTATCTCCCATAGTACAGTCTTATTTTGAGGGATCCAAAATCCATACTTTAAAAATAATTTTCCCCCACGCAAATTTCAACAGTGGATTTATATTTTGACGCTTCAAACTCAAACACTTTGCCCCCTGGCGATTTTCAAGGGGCGGTGACTCTTTTAACCAAATACTCCATACCTCATGATCCCCTCCGGAGTTATAGTGGATTATTATTTTGACACTTCAAACTCGGTGAGTCCACAAGCTTGTAGTGACTCGTTGTTAAACGATTTGACTGAATTGGTTTCCATTGAATTTTTCACACTTCTATGATTTTCGCACTGATCACCCAACGGGATTTGTCAAGCTTTAGCTTTTATACCCGCATAAATCCATTGTTCCATTGTGTGCACAAGCTTGGTTTCAACCGGCGAATCGCCCAGACCTCAGCGAACTGAAGTAGACGGGGACTGCTTTGTTTGTGGAATCAGTTAAACCCACCACGTGGGTTTGCGTACATAGGGCAATCACGTACGTGGCGTGCAATAGAGGTAGAGGGTAGTTTCGGGTCATTTGCGACCAAGTACCGAGCGGACGTGCTCTGCAATCCTCGCTGACAGCCTTCTCTCAGTCCTGCCAATGTACTTGCTACCGTAAGTATAGGTACAAAGGCAAACACACGAGGCGGTAACTTTAGAGTCCGGTCTGTACAGGTTGGAGATGCACAGCGGCCACTTGACTTGGTGCATTGCCACTAGTTCAGCCGCGTAATAGCACTGCTTGATAGATTGACGAAGACGTTGCCGACATCTTCTATCCACTTGGTCCCTTTAAAAGGCAGCGGAATAAATACCTTTTTCTTTGGAACATTTGTTGACGGTTTATCTTTCGGTCGTAAGCTCGCCTACCGTGCTATAAATCGCTCGGGAGATCCATTCTTTTGTAGTGTCGAGGTGCCGAGTTCCAGTTCGAAATCTATAGTCGCCGGGGAGAAAGTTTGACGAACTCTAGCAAAAGCCGTACGGACTAAAGCTCGCTTGTAGTTCATAGAGCAGAAGTTATTAAAGTTCAGGTAGTGTCCCGTCCATGTTGCTTTTCTGTACACAGACAGAACGAGTGGACCGTCTAGTTTCCTCTGTAAGTTGACATCCAGGAAATGGAAGGATCTATCAGATTGATTTACTATCGCGAATTTGATCGCGGGATGACGCTTATTCACCATTTCCAGTAGTTATGCCACCTGCTGAGGTGAGTCAACCACCATCATCATCATCATTATGCACGTTAGCTGCAGGTGGAAAACACCTCAGCTATTGTGTCGCAATACTAAAAACAATAAGAAAAATTTGCAACAGTAGCACGCTGGCTGAATCCCTAATAACGGATGGGCATCGTTCCGGGGAGCTAACAGCCAGTTTTCATGCCGTAAAATGAGTTATATTATGCCTAGCGAATGAGATCGTGCTTGGAGGGGAGGCTAAGCAGGAGGGGATGGACGAAGGAACTCATAACACAAACGCCATTGGGGCCGGCTCCTAGCCATATCGGCAAATGTATCCAACCAAACATGTTCATCCTCCCTAGGACCCCAGCCAGGCATTCGGGATGCACCAACTGCCGCCAACTTCGAAGTAAAGGGCTTTATTGCTCTCGACCAAGTCATCGTTTGACCTCCTCCTCCTCCAATTCCAAGCGCACCCCCGGCGCCCAAACAATGCACGTTGCGGGAGTCAGTATGCTGGCATACGCAACACGTGGCCCAGCCATCGGTGCCTGATGGGTGATATAATGATGCTGAGCGGTTCACTCGCTCCTCCTGCACCAAATACGCGACGCCGAACACGCTCATTGCTCACGCGGTGCTCCCACCAGACATGAGCTTAGCTGCGAAGGTAGAGATGATCGGATGTAACGAGCCTGTTTATGTCTGTCGACCTGACGGCCCAGGTTCCACAACCAGATAGAAGGATTGAACGGACGGCTGCGTTATAAAAATCTGCCCTACAGGGCAAGAGTAATGTCGTCTCTGCGCCACCGATGGCAGAGATTGGCATAAGCATCTGGAGCTTTTGCTATACGCCTCGTAAACCCATCTTAGATCCCAAGGGCGCTGATATGGCTGCCAAGGTACTTGAGTTCCTGAACAACAACCAGGAAGGTGTCGTCTATATACTGACCATAAAAGTGCACATTATGTACATGGGAAGGTAGTACGGTGTTTTCCAAGTGACCCATAAGATATCAGCAAACTACCAGATGCCGTTAGAATCTGAGAATAAGGTGCTAACTCTGTCTACCATCTCAATAAATCATCATCAACTTGAAGCTTTATCGCTAGATTTCCATTTTTCAGTTCTACCAAATAAATGCGAAAGAATAGGGATTGAAGCTCAGTTTGAGTATCTTTACGACCAACTGTCCAACCTAACATCGATCAACAATGATGCAAACGGCTGGTTTAGAGCTAGATTGGTCGATTTGGCCAATCAGTTCTGTGCAAGTGAAAAGGAAAAGTGCAGAATTATGACGAAGGATCATTGGGTATCCTTAATGCAGTTGCGACGAAATGAAAATCTGATAATACTATGGCCCGATAAGGGATCATGAGCTATAAGGTTGGAAAAGCAAGACTACATTCAGAAAGTTCAAACACTACTTGTAGGCTCTAACCGCTTCGTTCGTGATGTGGTAGGCCGCAATAAAACCGAACGGATGGAAAAGTTACTAGTCCGTTTGCCTTTGTACCTATACTTACGCTAGCAAGTACGTTGGCAGGACTGAGAGAAGGCTGTCAGCGAGGATTGCAGAGCACGTCCCCTCGGTACATGGTCGCAAATGACCCGAATGTTGTAACGCTGTGCTCACTCTCGCGAGGTTGATTCACGCCTGTTGCTAAATCTGCGCCTTTACGCGTGCTTTGTTTGACGCCTTGGCAAACCCGACCGGAACGAAGACAGAAGAATACTCAGCAGACCAGAGTTGTATTAGGGCAAAGAACGCTCATATTTATGTCCGTCACCAGGCAGATTTGGCTCTAAGCCCACGCTCCATACATACTTGTCCGCTGCATCTGCCCGATTCACCGTGTTGCTCGGGAACTACAGTCTTCGTTCGCCTACCCGGCGCATGGCAACGCACGTGATGTCTGACGCATGATTTCATCAGCTTCCGGTCTGGCCTTGGCAACACGCCTGGTGTCTGATCAGATTTCGGCTGGGCCCTGGTAACACGCTCGTAGAGTACTTCCCAAGCACGCTTGGTGGTAAACGCGCGAGCGTTGGCTCTCAGCTTTCTCGCCCAGCTGTCACCGAAACTACCCTCTACCTCTATTGCACGCCACGTACGTGATTGCCCTATGTACGCAAACCCACGTGGTGGGTTTAACTGATTCCACAAACAAAGCAGTCCCCGTCTACTTCAGTTCGCTGAGGTCTGGGCGATTCGCCGGTTGAAACTAAGTGTTTGCACACAAACGGACTTCATGACCAGCCTCGCCCTACCCTGGTGAGGCTAGTGTCGTCTTTCCTCTGACCGGGTCAAGTGAAGTCACCGATTTCCGATAACATTGCAACTTGATCACACTTGCTAATTGGGCTATCGTTTCCACAAATTGTTTGTAAGCAGCTGAGGGGAACACATGAAATTACTGAATTCAGTATATTTTGTTAAAATGTTGTTTCTTTTTGCTGCTCACTTTCTTTTAGTGAAGCTAGAATGGCCATCGTCAAGAACAGAAAAAGGGACCTGAGCTAGGGATTTAGCGCATTGGTGTCCGCACTTTTAGCTTTAATGTCGATGAAAGCGACAGAGCGGATAAGTTGCACTGATCGTAGTCGTTTATTTCGGGCATTGTATATCTTTTCTGGTAGTACGTTGCGTGGATATTTTCCCTGATACTGCCGGCCCGTGACTCTTGTCACCGGTTTATTTTTGATAGATGATTGATACTGCTTCGAAATTGGTTGATTTTGCATGCGCGTAGAGAAGCTTAACTGCGTACTTGATGCTGTAACGCGTTCCGCATTATTTGTTGCGTATAGTACACGTATTTCACATGTTCCTTTTTCTATCAACTTACTACGGCTAACCTCTGGTCTTGACAGCCTTAAGGATCACAAGCCTACCTACGGGATCGGGCGACCCTCGCTGTGTCCTTAGCCCACGCGCGGCTGACGGTGGGTACGCTGCAGCGAAGCGTCTGTGCTGCGTACCGGCGTACTACTGATGCCATTTGCTTTGATACGGCCACTGCATGCGCATCTTCCCATCTCAGTGGTACTGCAATTCGGTAACCGCAAATTTACTAGCCTAACTAGAATGGGTTTGCCAAGTATACAGAATTCAATTAGCGGTCAGTGTCTAACAAGTTGGCTCCAACGGAGCTATTTTACAGTAGCGGTGGTGACGTTAAAACCGACTAAACACATAGTTAGTTAGCGTCTGTCCCTAGCAAAACTCAGTCAGTTAAGTAGCGATACTGCTCACCTTCTAATCTGATAATTATATTCCGCTTTTCTGCAAACTTTTACTCTGAAGTTGGACACCCGTGTCACCTGCGCTGCGGCACTACATGAGAACACTCTCCTCGTCGGCACCATGTCCGGCAAGTTGTGTGCTTATTCAATCGAATTCAAGTGAGTCTGGTTTCATTTTTCAATTTGTAGTACTCGACTGCTTGATATAGTTGGTCATCTGTTTTCCTCTGAAACGTTGTACAATCGGACTTGAGGAAATAATTCTGAAAATGTCGTGGCTGGCGTATCTGTTTTATTATCTATCAAGGTGACTCACGAAGTAAATCTTGGTAGATGACTTGAAATCAAAGCATAGTTGAGAACAATTTTGTTGGAGAATGGCTTTAAATTGTCTTTTTAACTCATCACATGTTACCACACATGGAAAAGCACTCGTTACTATGATTAACCTAACAAAACGTTGAGTACCGGTGACACATGATCACTCCGTATTGTAAGCATCCAGCGTATACTTGTGTACTGAGGCGTTGACTGAAAGTAAATGGGGATTATGACGTGAAGATAAAGCTATTCACCTTAATACGGCGGTAGACATGTCACACTGCCTATCACTCTAAAGCGTTCTGTGTGTCGGGGTATGTTGTAACGCTTCTTCTTTCCCTCTGCTCTCTGCCACTGACGATGTTGTACTGCTGCTAGCTGCCCTATGAGACTGCGAGTGTCTGAATTCTTAGTCATGCGCCCAGCCAACCGAAGGAATACAAAGGGCCAGAACTCAGTAGACAGAGAGTCTCTATGTACAGGATAGGTTTGCTCTATTTATTGGTAACGGAAACATGTTAATTAGAAAGGCAAGGTCATTCACTATTCGGCGTCTGGTTTTCAACCAGTGTGAGTGAGTTCCACTTCACGGGTTAATCATATTGATGGAATAGTTCGCTTCCTTTGACTTGGGCTGTTATTTACTGGCCGATCGATTCCGACTCGGTTCCCGAATTCTGCTCCACTTGCGTCTGTATTAGGATAAAGCAGAGAAACGGTTGTATTCAATCCTTAGAAAGGTTCCAGATCCTTCGTCATAAATAGAACGGATGCGCTACGTAACATGGAAACATTATTGTCATCAGCCTCAAGTTTAGTACTGCTTTCGGCACCGTGTAATTCATCAAGGAGCAATCGCGTCGTAAATTAAAATTCTAACTGGTGCATAACTTCCTCTTAGAAGACGACTATGCGTTAACAGAACGCTGGGTAACGATATCCGTCAAATATATGAGCTACAAATTGTGCACAAAACCGAAGTGACCGTAACAATCACACTCCTCTTAGCCAATCCAGCAAATAGTGTCATTACTAAGTGGTTGAACCGCACGTTTAGTTTGTGGGAAAGTAGTTGGTAAAACATACATCATCCCTACTTGGAAAGCATAAATGTGACCGGAACACGAGTGTATTTGTTTTATACCCAGCCTTTCGTCCCTAACATCCCATCGCATGCGACTGCGAACAAGCCCTGAACTTATCATAATTAATAACATCCTGTTTCAGCTTCTTATAGATTAGCTGATAAACATGCTGCATTTTTGAGCACTAAATATTAAATTTTACTTTTAAGGAAAGCGTTCCAGGGATATTTCATGCGGCTATCGGCACACAAATGGACCGTTTGCTATCGGACATCATTGGGTACCTTTGAAGTGAAAGTATGTGGCATCGTCAAATGGTAACTTTATTGAAACGCCATGTTGACGATAAAACCTTAGTTACTGATTCGGATAGGGACACTGCGTGTCCAATCAGGGCAGTCAAAATTAATCACCTGGATACTAATGTGAGCTGTGGCAACGAACAGTGTGCGCGTCTTCATACCTGCACATACTATCCACCGGACAGTCGTGTGGATCTGTCTAAATCTCAATCTTAGGGACGGATAGGTACATGTACGTAAGGAGCTTTTGGCCTTTTTTATTTAAGACTTTATTCCACCAAGGCCTTGTGATTTACACCCAACTCACTTTGGAAATAAACAAAATATAAAATCCGTTTGAACAGCTGTAGTCCATCGACCATCGGATGGAAATCGCTAAACATTTCCTTAACACTGAAAAACGAGATTGAACCGTTTAAAGAAGCCAGTGTCTACTGAGCTGTGGTTCATAGATAATTACATGACAAAAGTCGCTGTTAAATGGACAAGAACGGTGTCACCCCACAACATTCGTCCTCTGATATTCATATTTGGTACCCTAAACGGAAATGCATGGTTTAAATGGACAAGCGTTGAGTCGACAAAGTCATGTGCTGCAGTTGAGCTAGGGTTGTTCTTGTCGAAGTGACCACCGCTTGCGTGAACAGGGAAGACACTAACGTCGAAGCAGTGACGTTACGTTATTTCTACAAACTCACGCGTACCTGTGAAGACAAATATGTTGACCGTGCTGATCGCAATATGGATGTTCATATCCACTAACACATTTGAAAGAGGTTAAGCAAACAACCAGTATCTTTGACGTTGAACGCAGTGCGTAGAGAAGATGGACTGCTTCAGAAATCACGAGGTCATTGCTAGAAACTGGTCACTAGTTCAACATCGTTGCGATGTTCCACACATTCATGCTCTATCACACATCCAGTAACCTAAGCTCTGTTCTCGAAATCAGCTGATAGTGCAGTTGGACCTACCGTGATGCAGCAGTTAGCCAACACTAGATCACAAGTCGATCTCACGTGACTCAGTTTCTCTTCAGTCTACCATCAGTTCCGTGTATATGATAGACGAGTATACAAGAATACCTGCACCATCTCGTCACCTGCATCGTCCGATTTGCTAACTTAGCCAAAATATGTTGTTAAATACCTATATGCAATTCATAGTTTGATTGCTAGCCAACAATACACGTCAGGCGCCAACAATGCACCTCCAAACCACTTTCAGCTGTTTCCGGTTTTTAACCGTTTTAAAGAATCCCATTAGATAATCAAAAGCTAATACATGACCAAAATCGTTACCGTCTCCAACTTCCGACAGCATTCGATTGAAAAACTTGAATAATGACTTCCAAAGGCGTGTTCTGCCGCAAAGGAGCCACATACTGTTCCAAAGTTGTCCAATGCTCTTTACGTAACCGATGACTGCACATCACTCGTTGCGGTATTAGTGTTGAACTGTACCGTGAGCTTCAGTAGTGTACCTCCCCGGTTATCAGCTTTCAATGTGACACGTGCTGAACTAAAGTGTGCGATAACCACCCATCTTCAGATCGTCCGACGCTCGCTCCACCTCCTTGCTCAGCTGAGGTCATGGTCCCCTCAGATGACGCGCATGCACCACTCTATCCAACACTATCAGATGCAAACGTCTCGAGACGGCGGAGTTAACTCCTTTCCGACTGTCCTGCGGCAGTACCAAAGTCTGACGAACGGGTCATCGTGACACAACCGAAGACATACGACGACGGCGAGAAACAGCGTATCCCCTACTTCAGTCACTTCAAACACATTTGTGCGCAAAATGATTCTAAAAAGACTCCGAAGTCTAAAACGGTCCTGAAGCCTATTTCATCCCATCCACGATTGGTTTTGGACAGAATGACGCACCTAGAAGATTTGATAAAAGCTAATTCCAGTACATAATAATCACCTACACCTGAGGGAAACAAGCGTCCACATCGTGAAGTTTTACCGTAAATGCTCCTGAGTCCAACAAGGAGACACCAGCTGAAAGAATACAGGACCATCAATTATTGCCAGAGCACATGGTTTCTCTTCTGTTCGATGGTGGGGAAAATGTGGCTAATATTTTTCTGCATATCGCCTTTGGAGAAAGTGAGAAGATCCCACCAAATCCCGTCTTCTCTAAGTTATCTGTCCGGATGCAAAAGTGTGCTGCCGTATCTTCGGACGGACCTCGTGTCTCAAGGCAGAATAATTCTATATTCTGAGAGAACTATATTCAGAGGACCGAAGCAAACTGAGGAACGCAGTCAGCGAACTACGAACCCATAGAGCACATGGTGAAACCAACTTGCATTTAGAAGATTTTCAGAGTTCAGAAAGTCCGGAGGTCCCGCTGGCAACAACTTACCATCATCCCCGAGAGCTAAAAACAAGGACGAAGCATGGAATGCAGTTGACGGTTGCGAATGTTCGCAGCCTTTGAAATAACTTGTACTAGGTACCTGCCCTAATTTCATAACTCCTTCCGAACCTGACGGCCTTCAGTCAGTCATGGCTCAGTTCAGATATCTTCGACACTGAGATGTACATCCAAGGATACCGAGTTTTCGTGCAGACCACTCTGGAACAAAGACTGGTGACGGCGTAATTCTTTACTGGAGAAAGGACCATAAAACTCACCTCGTAGAAGCCACCAATAATGCTGATGGCGGTGCAGAGCTGCTCTGGAGTAGGATCAATAATGGCTTCGAAGTTCCTATGGTTAGGGCTGTCTACAAAGCTCCATGGGGTCATAGTACTTATGTGCTAGACTCTATCAAAACGCATGGAAGTCGCAGAGATTGTCTTATTGTGGATGACTTCAAACCCCCGAAAGTTAACCGGGACCTGCCACACTGCCGCCTCAGTCCAGAGTCCTTTGAGGATAACCTCTTTAAAACCGTCCTCAAAACGAATCTCTCCCATCATCTAACAACACCCATTCGGCTTCTTCCCGGCCAGAAGCCGCACATCCTTGATCTTGTGTTCACTTCAGCTCTGTCTGAGATCTCGGGATTGACACTTCTACAGCCCACTGGTAAAAGCGACCACTATACGATGTCCTTCTAAGGACTAAACGTCTAGCCATTCAAGCCCGCAGCGCACCCCGTCATTACTTCTGGAGCAACGACGCACCCAGGTTAAGAGCGGCAGCGAGTATGCTTGTCTGAAATGTTCCACACCACTTGTAACGCGTTGCTGCTTGGAAAGATTTATTTTCCAAGTTGAAGCCAATGACTGAGGAGGTCGTCCCATTCCACAGAAACAAGTCTCTCTCCAATGATCCTCCCTGGATCGACCGGAAACTCAGGGCCAACATGAAACAACGACGAAAACTATTGGACAAATTCCCATCGCAAGAGGTTGGACCTTACCTTGGTGCGATGGTTTGTGCGCCTCAGCGATCCGTTGAGCTATGCTGGGTGGTGCATTTTTGCACCTTCAAAG